AGAAAAAAAACAGAAAATATTTGCTAAAAATCAGGAAATTATATATTATGATAGATCTAATCATCTATTCCTTTTTTTCAAATATTTAAAATTACACGATCATATTCACAATTTGGTTAAATTTGGTTTAGCTGATGAGAAATGAAGAAAAGAAGTGGTAAAAGTTCAGGTTATTAAAAATTTACGTAGAAATCTTGAGAAGAAATATAATATTTATATAACGTGAACAACATTAAATAATTATTTGTTATCATGCTAATCTAATTCTATTACTACAAGAGCTCATCACCATCTAGCATGGATTACAGTAATTGGAGTTTTATGAACAAAAATACACAATCATCCTGATAATCATTATTGTTTTATATCTGTTAAATATACAAAGCAATTTGCATATGTATTTGCTGATATGTCAGTTGTCATCTCTCAAAATAACAAAGTAAAGTTAGGTTTTAGGATACCTGCTTTAGGTCAGATTTTTTAAAAATTGCAATTAATTCACAAACCTATTTGTGTGACTGATCACGATTTTCCTTCAGGATATGAACAAAAATTAGTTTTATCAGTTTATCTTATAATCAAACTGAATGATTCAAATGATGAATTATGAATAAGCCAACTCATCATTTTTGTAAAATGCTATGGTCTCTTGATACATTCTCCCTCATATATATACAAGATCTCAAAAATTTCTCTTTAAATATCCAATATGATGATGTGTTAAAGATTAATAGAGAAATTTGACTAATCTGAGTTCTATTGGTAGATGGAGGATTAGACGAGAACTCAAGGCATCTAAAAATTATTAAATCATATTGCCATCTTTTTGAAAATTTAACTTAGATTACCTGATTGTAAGGACATATGATTTAGAATAATCCAAATATAATCTGGTTAAAAGAGGTATAGCGATATTATCTGGTAAGTTAGCAGGTATTATACTACTAATCAATCACTTTAGAACGCATTTAAATACGTAAGACAAAATGATAGATCTGAAGTTAACTCTTCAAAATTTTCAATATGCTAGAGAAGCTCTTTATAATATTTAGCATTGTGATCTGATTTTTAGAAAAAATGTTGATATTTAATATGTTGAAGAATTTATCAATCCATTTAAAAACCTACAATTTGAAGGTATAGAAAAAGAAAAATAAAGAATAAAAATAATAAGAAAAACAAAAAAAGAAACAACAAAATAAAAAAGAAAATGACTTAACTGATTCTTTTGTACTATGGTTATAGATTAAAAATTATTGTAATCTGTACTAATATTCTTTAGATATTAAATGATATATGAATACAAGCTGTTGTGATTCACCCTGTGCAAAAGAAGCCATAGAATTCCTTCAAATAAATAATAGCTCTTACCTCTTATTACTAAAATCAAAGATGGATACTTTGCTAACCTAATACATCTTCTCGAATATTATGATCTTTTGAAAATTCTTAGTTATGATTTCCATTACTCATCTTTTGATCAAATAACATATTTGTATTTTTGTTATTCTAAATGTGATAAATATTTTTCAACTCTTACTTTTTTAACAAACTACAAATGAACAGTATACTCTGCTAGTCATAGATGATTTAAGAGAAAAGGTAAAAGCTAAAATTTCACAATTCTTGATAATTTCTCTCTTTTCTCATTACAATAACCAAAGAAAATTTATCTTTTTGAAGAAATGTGTTTAAGGAAATGTAAAGAATGGAAAAGTTTAGATTTAAGACTTTAGAACTTAGTTTTTATTCTCGATCTTGATAAGATCTGATCCTAATTTTTAGGACTTAATTTGAATAATTCCAATTTGGTCTTTATATAAATTCTAATAAATAATATAAATTAAAGTTTAATTTTACAGATATTTGCATATTGCAATTTAATTATAATCATATAAAATATATAGATCAATTAGATTCTAATTAAATATTACATATCGCATCTTTTATGATCAAATTTATATTTTATATTATAAAATTATTTAGTAAAAATAGCTTAATTGAACTATAATTTTGAATATTTGAATGATATAAAATAATAAATTTAATAATATAGAAATAAATGGCGATTTAAATTTGTAATATGTTAATTATAATAAAATTATTAATAATAATTAATAAAATATAATAAATTTAAATATTATAAATGATTAATTAAGATATTTGAATATAATACACATTTATGAATTTTAAAGGATACTATACTATAAGGAATACATTAGTTTAAGGAGTATATAATAAATTTTTAATGATCTGATAATATTAAATATTTAATTAAAAAGATGTTTTTTAAAAAAAAATAATGTATACAGTCAACTCTTGTTATAACAAACTCTATGTCTTAGACTTCAACTTCGCTATAAGACTATAGTGAAGATTTTAAGAGATTTGATTGGCCAATTCACTATAATAAGAGTATTTTTATTATATTTGTTCAAAAAATTCGTTATATTAAGAGTTTGCTATATCAAGAGTTGACTGTATGTGTTTATGTGATATTTGTTAAAATAGTTGTTTATGTTATTTATATTATTTATTTAATAAAAAGGAAACGTGATCACATTTTTAACAGAATTAAAAAACTACATATAGAAGCAGTGTTTGCAAGGATAAAGATTAAAGGTATTAATAGGTCAGGGGTATTAGTAGTAAAATTAAAGTTTTTTTGTGTGAAGTACATGAAATTTAAGAAGGTTTTTACTTTTAACAAAACTTTTAACTACAGATCAAAATTTTAAAGAAAAGTATCATTTAAAAAAGAAAAAAAAGTACATAATTTAGCATCATTATCATTATTAATAAAATGAAAATTATGAAATAATGTCAATTTAAAAAATGAAAAAATTATAAGTTTTTATAAAAATTTTCAAAAAATTTTAATTTTCTAATAAAAAATCATTGGTGTTAGAAAGTATAAAATCAGAAAAATTGAGAGATTCTAATAGTTTATAATCTTAAAATATAATACTTTTAGAAGTACAATATTAAAATAAATATTATTTAACAATCTGGACTCAATTTGATTAGTCCTATATAAGTTATAAGACTTTCATAAAGACTTAATCAGTCTGTCTACATACTAGGACTAACAGGTCCTAGGACTTTAACTGAACTTTAGCAAACTTTCTATATTCTAAGAGAATGTATATCAGATCAAGATTGTTAATATTAATATATTGTACAATTATATATAATATAATATAAATAAAATAATGCTAAGTCACCGTTACCACGTGATTTATAAGTAATGTGTAACCTAAGATCTCCTGCTATCCCCACCCCCTAAAATATTAGCTAATATATGTCACTGCCCTAATGACTATTTATGCATAAAATTTTTCAAAAAAGATTAAAATTATTTTTATATTATATATTATTATAATTCTTCAACTTTATTATCAAAAAGATACAAATCTATCAAATTAGATATTAAAAAGAAATTGTAATAAATGGCTAACACAAAAGATAGATTGTGAATATAATGAATAGATATTTCATAAAACACAAATCAGCTTTGCAAAATACAAAAATACAAGCAGAAGTTCATGTAGTTTCAATTGATCTAAAAGTTTGTATTTTCATTTACATAGTATTCTTTAATAAAAGATGCAGTAAAGATAGGAAAATACAATATAGGTTGCAGCATATCTTTAAACACATCAGACTAGTATTTTCAATTTCAAATGAAAGAATAAAATAGCATTATATGTTTATATAGATATCGTTTGTATGTGATAAAATATCAGGATGAGATTCATCAAATTTTTAACTGATTAATTTGACATGATTGCTATTTCTTCTTTTGAGTTTCAGATATGGTAAACAGGAAAACACGAAAGATAACAAGGAAAAAAGTTAGAATGATGCTTTGTTGGTCTCATTATGACAATTGATTCAAAGCAGAAGAAAAGCGTCTGAGGGATATTCCTTCGGGCTTTGCTTGATGGATTTCTAATGATTATCCACGCGTTCTTTACGCTTCTAACTATAATAATAATTTTTGCTTTAGTTTGGCGAAAATGGAATATTTTTTTTTTGATTTCAATTTCAAATCGATTCAGGCGGGCCTAAACTGGACCGAATACCGGATTGAACCGTTAACATATTGCATACTGCAGTCGATTAGTTATTTATTTTTAAAATCAATTTTTTTTGGTTTTCAATATTCTTTCACTTTTATAAACATTTGCAATTTCGAAGAACCAATGAAATTTTAATGAGACGACCTTATTTGTTATATAAATTTTTTGCTACGCCACAATGATCGATATTCACGTTTGTATTTTCGTGTAAAAATGGGTTTAATTCAAAATATTGTTTTTAAAATTCTTTTTTTTTTATTTAAAAAAAAAATGTGAACAATGGGGGAGTGTATCAAGTTTATTTAATACGGATTCTGCCCAAAGTTATTAAAAATCCTTCCACAGAACAAAATTCACTGCGCCACGAATACAACAATCTGAAATTACATTGTTAACCTCCTTTCCAAATCGCCCTTCGCCACTTCAATTCACCTTGAGTTTCAACAATGAAGATAATTCGTCTTCCTAAAATAAGTTTCACTAAGTCCACAAAATTCTACTTGTTTAAAAAGAAAAACTGTTTAGCGATCCGAGGGAAAATTATTTATAGTATTGCATTAAAGAGTTATCAAACATGAATTTCATTACAAAGGTAACAACGATAAAAATTCAAAGGTCTTTAAAATGCAGGGATCGTATAAATAAAGTGTTAACAATAATCATTCGTTCAATCAATATCTGAATCGAAACATATATAACCCCTTTTTCTTGTAGCTTATCTTTTATAAATTATCATCACCCACTCTTTTGAAACAAAAAGTGTTGTAAAGCCAAAACTCTGCCTTAACTTTTTTTTTTGTTTTTGGAAACCTATGCTTTCCAAACCACATTCCTTCATTTTTTTATTTACCTTGATACTTTCCCTATTCTTTTTTTTTTTTTTCTGATTTAATATAATAATAATTAGTATAATCATCCATGATTGCTCAAAGAAAAACGTGGAGAAATCAACTTGTTTCTCGAAGCAGCACTTCCCGCAGGACGGGTCCATGGGAGCCTGAGGTTTGTGGGTGGTTTTTTTTTCTTTTTTAAAGCTAAAAATTCGGAAATAAATTATTCAGTTAGAGAAAATATTTTTTTTCCCCTTTTTTTTTTCTTTTACAGGAGGATGAGCGATTATTGGCGATTGTAGCAGAATTGGGTGTGAAACATTGGAAGTTAA